AGTAGAGATATACATACGTACATATTTCTAAAACCAAAACATATCCAATCCAATGCTTCATTTGCTCGCTATTAGAGTCTATAATGCTTTTTTCATAGCCTAACATTAATATTACGAAAGATGATTTTGATCGATTCGAATTCGGGATTGTCTATGTCTTTGTTCTAGGTTTACGTTATCGACATTTAATTGAAACAGTGCAACCACCGAATCTTTGGCAACCAACAGATACGTTTATGTCGGGTATTCAAAGACCCTATCCGGCGACTACGATCTATCCCAATGAGTCCATCGATCTTGCTCCCCCACATCAATTTCAGCCAACGAACAGCTTCTATCCAGCTCAAAAGCCTCATCAATCACCGTCCGAAACAGCATTTCCACCACTATTTGCATATGTTCCACCTAGTTTTAATCATCATTTAACATCAACTGTCGACGATAATTCTTTGCTCATACAAAATCCTAGTTTGACTTGATGGTTTAACGACCATATATACATATATGCCCGCGCGCACACGCACACACACACACACACATCTTATTCAATCTTCATGTTTGTTTCTTTTAATTTATTGTTCTTTCTATAGCGTTGTATTCTCGCAGTGATCTTTTGTTTTTCGTTTTCTAAAATAAAAGAACACGGCGATGACTTTGTAAATAAGTTCTACTCTTTGAGAAAAAAAAACCATGTTCTTCCGTATAGAAAAAAAAGCAAACAATGCTTACGCGCGCCTTCGAGTGTGTGTGTGTATGTGTGTGTACATATATTATTTAGAATTCTGGAAAAGAATAGGACCTGAAATCTTGCAGTTGAGTGAAGAAAGACCAACTTTTTTCTGTGTGTGCTTTTATGATTTCATTATCATCATCTTCGTTCTTTTTCTCGTCGTTTATCTTTCACTCATATGTTTGTATAGTTTTGTATGCCGCCTTCGAAATGTCCGTGTGTATAAAACGAGAAGTATTTGAATACAAGCAAACGAACAACAACTATTATAATAATAATAAAAAATAATTCACTAAAACATATATGAATTTTCTCTTCTTGAAGATGTATTTCATGTAAATATGTTCATAGCGATTGTCTTTCTCAGTTATGCTCTTGGATGTGCAACAACAATTGCTCTCTTAGTCTATTTGTATATGCGACATGGACTCAGTCAGCCCGAACCAATTGCCGAGCAGAATCAATACCAAACATTTCAGCCGCTACCTGAAGTAAGCTCGTCGTCACTTGAGATGGCTTTTCGCATTGATGTATGTTTATCTTAGAATTTTCGATCGAAAAATTCCACTGTTGACACCATCAATTGTATCTTCCAATTTGTCTTTCAAGAATTAAAGGATTCTTCTCGAATCAGGCGTTATATCGTAAAAAAATTAAATGTCGAATTCGATGATCTAAGAAATACTCGCTTGGGCAAACTATTCCTTCGGGATATTGTCGTAGGGTTTCATATACTTCGATCTTTTTGTCATTCATCTGTGCTCTTCATAGATACAAAGCTTTTCTTTGGGAAAAGAATGTCCAGTACTCAGTGATATACAATTCGAACGGCATGAACGTGACGAACAAAATTTGATCAAAGTAAATATATGGAATATCCTAGGCTGATTATTAGTTTTTCTGCACAGGAATGTCAAGCGACATTTCATGCCGACTATCAAGATGGTTTTTCTGTCACGCTTGACATAACACTTGCATTTGAACAGACGTGCCAGTTATACATAAAGATCAAACGAATTCGGGGTGATGTACGATTAGAACTTCGTCGTGAACCATTTTCTCATTGGTTGCTAGTCTTTCAAGGAGAACCATTGATTGATTTAGATGTGAAATCTTATGTATCCAATCGTGAGACAGCTCAATTAGCACAAATAATCAAACAACAAATACGTCGCGCTATACAGCGTAAACAAATCTGGCCAAATTACAAAATTCGTTATCAACCGTTTTTTCCCACGTCACACCGTTCGTCCGCGAAAGAGTGTTTAGAAGTAATCAATCCTGACCTTATACCTGGCAAATTTCATATTAAAATCAAATCATGCGACCGTCTTTCGATTCCATACGAAATCTACAATCAACAAACAGAGTCATCATTATTCATTTTTCTTACAATCAATGTCAATAAATACACGTGCGAGGATTATTTATGTGTGAATCGCGATCAATGGAAAACGTATCAGTGCGAGCTTTCTCCGCAATGTACCAATATTCGTGTGAAAGAAGTGCTATATATGGATCGTGTGGAATTGTTGATTGAACAATTGGATCCGATTCCAGATGAATTTAAAGATCAGACGATCTTCGAAGAAGCTTTGAAGGATAAAAACATCTTTCTACTTGAAATTCAAGGCAAACATGTTGATCAGTTGAAACAAGTGATTCATTTATTAAAACACAATCAAAAAGTACAACTTGTAGTTGCTATACCAGTTCTACAAAGTGTTCAAATACCACGAGCCGTAGAGACAGCAGTTACAGTGAGATACCTTTTCTCTCAAATTTACATGCCGAAATTCGATTGTATAGGAACCAGAATTCACAGAAACATTGCGACGACGGTTCTCTGGTACGATGTGCAATTTTCCAACGTTTCTGAGAATACTGTATTTGTTTTCTTTTTAGTTAAAACAGATACAAATCAAGAACGAACGGATACTAAACTAGTAAGGTGTCAACAGTTAACTTTCTAACCACTTCCTCGACTTTTGTAGACGAATTCACCAGCGGACACGGTTCACTTGATGATGGCGAATAGTGATTTACTCGACTCATTTCAAGCTCGACCGACTCTTACGCAAAAACCTAGTCCAGTATGTTTTCGAATATAAAAATGTGTAGACTCCCACATTCTGTTGCTTTAGTATGTGGAATTTAATTACGAAAGCGAGTTTCGAGTCGGATCGGACGAAGAATATCTGAACATTTGTTTATGGTGTAAACCACCGCTCGATTGCAATGTACCTAATATTAGTCGAAAACATATATTACTTGGCTACGTAAGTGATTCATTTAAGTTATTACTACGAAGTGACTAAGTGGAAAATAAATGTGCGTTTAAAAATACATGAATTGTTTATGATTTGAGAGACCTTCCAATGATGACTAAGAAAGAAAAATTATCTATTGGATCAATTGAATCTAAGTTTTGTTCGGTATCTTCATATAGGCAACAGTTTCTCTCGCAGAGATTGTTCTCAATGCTCATATGAGCTTCAAACGTGAGACTCAAATGACACTTAATTTTCGATCGCCAATTTCACCCAAGTCCAATATGTAAGCCTTATTCCGAACTGCAATTAATACCTATAACTATTATCTTCGTCGTCTAGTGAAGCTTATCGGAAAGATCCAAAGCGGTATGTTTTGAAATTCTATTCATACATTCATCGAGAGAATATTCTCTTATAGGCAAAAACTATCCGAATTAACTACGCACAAAAAGTATGATGATCATATGGCGCATGGATTTGTTACGATCAGAATCAGACATGAACCTGAAATTGAGAACAGAAGAAAACAAGAAGCAAAACGACAACGCTCCTTTTCTTTTGAAACGATCATAGTCGACAGTGAGCAATTATCTTTCGCCGAGCAACCCATCCCAAAGTAAAGAAAATGTGTGTTAAAATGATCGTAATTCCAAATGACGTTTTCTAGATCACCTCGTCATATTTTCGAAGACCAAATATTCAGTGTTGGTGTTAATTGTGCTTTATGTCAGAAGAGAGTATGGATGAAAGCCGGTCGACAATGTCGGGACTGTTCCGTCACCGTTCATCGAGCATGTGAAGAGAACTTTGTGCTGACTAACTTTTGCACACATGAAAATATGCGTTCGAGATCATCTACTTTTGAGAACGACTCCATAGAGAACATTGATCAGACAAATGTACGGCGAACAACGTCTAAAGCTACGAATAAAAATGAACAATTCGAACACATCAATGCTGATAAGCGACCTTTCGGGAATCAATCAATCTACTCATCTTCAAAGTTAGCCGGTGTTGCTTCATCCGCTTACAATAAACTACGCGAAATTCGAACGAAACGTTCTCATACGGCTTCAAATCTCGATCTTCGGAAACCACGATCGTCATCGGGTAAATCTTCCAATCGTTTCTCTATTCAATATGTCAGGCTCGTATCTTCTTCATAGCGAGTGAAAATGTGTCTGAAAACGATCTTCAAGTCATATTCAGCGTATGTGAACAAGTGATGTTTAATTTGAAAAATGTGAGATTTTCCGTTTAGAACTGTTTAAACGATAACAACGTCGATATGGAAAGACTAGAGAATCTATTTCGAGAAAAAGCTGTTGATCATGCAGCACTCTACGCTGAAGCAAATACATTCGGAGTGGAGTTATTCAAAGATTTAGATCTCGAAGAACGAAAACAAAAGCTCGAAGATCAAGTTCGTGAACAACTTGTTTGGAAGGGAGTTAAAACGAATGAGAAAGTCTCCTATTTAGCTCAGTCGATTTCAACAAGACTTTGACCTACAGGATAAAATTCGTGATGAATTAATTATCGAATTGAATAACAATCTAGCCGATGAAAACGCCAAGAGCAGAATTCAAAAGGAAATTTCCAATGTTGATGAGAAAGTTCAGGCACTTGGTATGTATCTTACATTCACCAAAAAATGAGCACATTCTACTTTTTTGTTTGCTTTCAGCGGCTTTAACCGTCCTCTATTGTTCGGGTAATTATTCTGTTTACACTTTGCATTACTACACCTTCCATTGTAGGTTTTAAACATTGCTGTCATCTACTAAATGCAAAAGCTGATCACCATACTGGTAGCCCTTAGTAATATTTTTGTAAAAAACACGTGTGCAATACGCTCAAGTTCAGTGTGATACTTAATAATTCCTTTTCTATCCGTTGATTTTGAAAATGTGATAAGAAATACTTTATCAATCTGTGATTTTTTTTTAAGATGACTGATAGCAACGAGGATAAACTCATCTCGAACGAAACTGATGCACAGAGTGAACGAACTCGACAGAAAATCCACCAATGGCTAAACAAACCCATGCGTGTTTCAATCGTTGACGGACGTGTACTTATTGGTGTTTTACTCTGTACTGATCGTGATCAAAATCTTATCTTAGGGAATTGTAACGAATATATTGGTTCACCAAGTGAACAAGAAGAATTTCGTGCACTCGGCCTTGCTCTGATACCTGGTCAACACATTCAATCGATTTATATTGATGAAGGCTCATCATCGACAACTCCACATTCGTCCAATCCGTCTCATACGTCAATCACAACAACTAAAGATCATATTGTAGATGATGATAAGAGCGATGATTAATTTTTTGTTTGTTTTTCTGCGTTTTTAATTAGTTAATTCGCTTGTTGTCTGTCTTCTTTTTTTTTCTAGATGTCTTGCAGCAGAGGTAATAATAATCGAACAAGAAGACAAAAGTATCAGAATGCAACATCCTTCAAAAATAATCTATACGATACAAGCAAAATGACAAAAGAAATCAATGCACTCGAACACAAAGGTTTATGTGAACATTGTCAACAAGTACTGGAATGGAGAGTACATTTCAGAAAATATAAACCATTGACACAACCCAAGAAATGGTAAATCAATTCACTACTATCGAATGACAAACATAGATTTCCGAGCGAATGATTTTGTCACAATGTGCAGTGCTTTGTTTCTCATTGTCAGGCCGCATCCTCTGACCGACCGTGACATGATACTTGTTCATAGACCATAGCTAACGTGATGTCAAGAATGGCATCTATTTTGCGAACTAATCAAGAAAAGGAAAGACATGAACTCTGCTCAAGTTCACATCCTTCGAACTGTTCATAGAATTCAATTAAGAGTTGGTAAACGAAGGTCAACTAAAGAACTTTTTTTTTAGTGTTCGATGTCTTCAGAAAAACATCCTTCGAGCTTATTATATCATTTGTGACGATTGTGGTGCTAAGGATAATCTTTGTTGTAAATGTGGACAAAGTCAAGATGCCCCTATCGAGTGAGTCCCATCAATGATCGAAAAAACATCGATTGAAATGCGTTTTCTCTCTAGACGACCTGTTCCTGCTGTTGAAGAAGAACGTGAACAAGCCGAATTTGAAAACGATATAAAATTACTTCGCGAAAGACAAAGACGTGAGATGAAATTCATCATAAAACATGATTTTATTGATGTTTTCTTTTGTTTACAGGTAAATTCTATCGTTTGATGAAACAAGGGATGTCAGGTGAAGAAGCGTTAGCCAAAGTAACCGATCCATCTACTCAACAATCCAATGGCGAGAACGGTGATGATGATGATGATGATGATGAAAATTACGTTGATGATGATTCAGACTTCGATGAAGATGAATTAACTTAAACTATACACACATCATTTGTCGTTGTTATTGTTTACGAAATAAAAAGAT